CGAGCTAGCATAGGAATGTAGTTAGCTGTATAGAGACCTGAAATATGCGGGGTGAATTTTTATACCCAAGAAGGGAACAGAGTCTTGCGACCACGAGAACGGCAGGATCAATTTTAGATGGTTAAATTCATTGGGTGGGAGCGAAATATTAAGTGCAAGTGACTTCCGGGGATTTATTTGGAGGCCCGAGAGCATCCCAAACCTATCAAGTAGATGAAGAAGGGTAGGTGTGGATGTTAAGGGGGAGGTGAGAAAAAGTAAGACATCATCTGCTAATAAGCACAGTTTATGTGAGGTGCCTCCTATCTCAAGTCCGCGGATATCCGGGTCAGTCCTAATCAATAGGGCCAGCGGTTCTATAGCTAATGCGAAAAGCAGAGGGGATAGGGGACAACCTTGTCTGGTGCCACGCATAATTGGGAAATGAGCAGATCGATGCCCTAAGTATTTGATCCTGGCCGAAGGGCCCTGGTAGAGAGAAAAGATCCAGGTTAAGAAATGCGGGCCAAAACCCCATCGGCGCAATATATAGTGTAGGTATGGCCACGAGACAGTGTCGAACGCTTTCCGTATGTCCAAGGACAAGAAGCAAGCAGGAATATTGCGAGTTTTGGCTAAGTGTGCTAAAAGGGATGCACGTCTGACGTTGTCCCCCGCTTGTCGGGTTGGTATGAAGTCGACCTGATCATTGTGGATTAGGGATCCAATACATGTATTGAGGCGAGTAGATAGGATTTTAGCCAGGAGTTTAACATCTACGTTAAGAAGGGAGATTGGTCTATAATTGGACCATTGCGTGTCATCTGAGTTCGGCTTGGGTATCATAGAGATGTTGGCTTGCACTGTATCTGAGTTAAAGGTATGGCCTGAAAGTATGGCGTTAAACGCATTAGTTATAACAGGCGTGAGAATGGGGGCAAACTTTTTATAATACGTGGCAGAAAAGCCGTCGGGTCCTGGGCGTTTACAGGGCTTTAGGGAATTGATAGCATTTAAGGTTTCAATTACTGAGAGAGGTCGCGCCAGTGCTCCTAAGTGATTCTCAGCCAATTTCGGGAAAGGAAGGGAAGCAAAAAGGGCTTCGGCCTGGGAAGAGTCAAAGGGCGTGGAGGCAGAGTAAAGGCGCGAGAGATGCTTGTGGAAGGTGTGCAGAATCCGTTCGGGGTTGCTAGTGAGATTCGCAGTTGAGGTCCGTAACCGTATGGGTCTAACAGTTTGGTCTAGTTTACGGAGAGAGAGAGCAAGGAAAGTGCCAGGTTTATTGGCTTTAGTGTAGAATTTGTGTCGAGATCTGCGGATGGAGAGCTCGGCTTGGTCCGTGAGGAAGAGATCCAGGGCTAGACGGGAGTGCTCGAGAGCTTCTTTGTTAGCAGGGGTGGGGGAAGTTTGGAAGGCAGCATGGGATTGGTCATAAGCTTGTTCAAGGAGAAGGCGTTTCTGCCTCCTCTCTCTACTCAGGAAGGAGGCTTTGCTGATACAGAGTCCGTGAAGTACCGGTTTGTGTGCTTCCCATAGTAGAAGGGGGGAGATATCAGGGGTTTGATTTAAGGAGAGATAGTCCTTAAGTGCAGCTGCTTTCTCTGAGCAATAAACTGGGTCAGCCAGCAGGCTTTCGTTAATGATCCAGGAGGGATCAGGGGGAGCAGGGGCCAAAGAAGCAATGGTAGTGACCACTGCACAGTGATCCGACCAAGGGATCGGTAGGATGTCAGAAGCTAAGATGCGGGGGAAAGAACTGGCGGTCATAAAAATATGATCTATTCTCGAAAAAACCTTATGTGGGTGGGAGTAAAAAGTATACTGGCGTTTAGTGGGATTGATTTCCCTCCAGGAATCGACCAATGAGTAATGTTGCAGTATGGATTGGAAGGAGTGGTTGGGGGTGTGCGGAGAAGGTGATTGTGGGGATTTATCTAGAAAGGGGTATATTATATGGTTAGAGTCTCCACAGATTATGAGCGTGCCTCGTTTATGATGATCTATAACCGAGAAGAGGTGGGAAAGGAACGGCAGAGGACCCTGGTTTGGAGCGTAATATGTGGCTATGGTGACCTCAAAGTCCACCAATTGCCCAACTAGTATGATATAACAACCCTCAGGATCCTTAATCTCAGTATGTAACTTAAAAGGAGTTGTACGGTGAAGGGCGACTAAAACCCCTCTACACTTAGTGGCAGCAGAGGACGCGTAGACCTGTGGGTAACGAGGGCCAAAGAATTTGGGAATAGAGGTAGTGAAGTATGTTTCCTGAAGACAGACTATATGCGCATTATGCGACGCAAATGAGCGGAAGGCTTTGTTGCGCTTCTGCGGGACGTTAAGACCCTGAACATTCAGGGTGAGAATATTCAAGGAACCCATGGGTAGAGCAAACAATGGGTAAGCGGATAGTGAGGTACCATCAAGAGGAATGTTATGTCAATTTGGCGCAGGGAGGGTATGCGGTTACTCGAGTTAAGCTTTAACGTGCAGTCGTATGCGAGTGCAAGGGTGGGGATGGGGGGGGAAGGGGAGGGTATTCTATGATAGACACTGAAGGACATAAAAACCCAAGAAAGAGGGGGAAAAAAGAAGAAAAGAGAAAAAAAAAAAAACGGTCCCCGGGAGCACCCAAAACCTGGTGGCCCGGGGAGCGGATGTAGCCCAGGTGGTGTAAAAAATGGAACACCAAGGGGGCTAGTGGTGAGTGCGCAGAAACGCAGGCGGCTAGGAAGACAGCATGTAGACAAAGGCATATTAAAGTGATCCTGGTAGGAAGAAAGCATCAAAATCAACAAGCAAAAAGCCCGCAGAGCCTCGGCACCGGTGGCCCCGGTCAACCAGGCCCAGCCCCAGAGAGGCCAGAGCCAAACCAACCGAAACGCCGGAACCGAGGGTCCAATAGGCAAGTTAAAGGTGCAACAACAGCCCAAACATGGCGAACATCAAACCAAACAATAGACCAATATGATTCCCAACCCGGGCAGCATGTATCTGGTGCTGGTCAGGCGTAGGTAAAAAAAAAAAAAAAAAAAAAACAACTGGAGCCCAACAGGCCAGTATAAGGATACAAGGGTGCAACGACGGCAGACAGGTAGACAGTCAATTGACTAAACCCTGTGGGTGTGGCGACTGTGTGGGTGGTAACGGACCACCACATAAGGAGCAGGATTAAGGGTCAAAGGTGGTCAATGGGATTCAGTCCATTGAATCTTGCGGTGAGAGAGCAGGAGAGGAAAAGCATCCCCGCTTGTGTGCGTTTAGGTTAGGAATTCATGACGGCTGGGATTTCTGCAGTGAGCATGACGCCGAAACGCCTTCTGGAGGTCTCAATCTGTGCAGCTGGAGGTTCCGTAGCGCGTCCTGAAGCTCATCAGTAGTCTTGCATACGTGGTCACGGGCTTGATGGCGGAAGCGTACCGCAAAGGGAAAGCACCATTTATATGGTGTACTATGCTGTTGAAGCACTAGCAAGTGCGTTTTAATGGCTCTGCATTTGGTAATGGTAGTGGGGCAAAAGGTCCTGAAACAGCTGGTAATGATGACCTTGAAACAGGAGGGACTCCGAATTGCGGGCGGCTTGTAGTAGTTGCTCCTTTGTTCGGAAAAAAAAAGTTTAACTATGATGTCTCGCGGCGGGCCGTCTGTGCGCTTTGGAGCTAGTGCCCTGTGAACCCTATCCATCTCGAGGTGTTCTATTGGGATAGCGGGGGCGAGCTCTTGGAATAGCGCAGTAGCTGTAGAGTGGACATCAGTAATTGACTCGGGGAGGCCACGAATATGCACGTTGGAGCGTCTGGCCCAGTTCTCAAAGTCCTCTAAGCTCGCCTGAAGTATAGCGTTTTTGTCACGCAGCAAGTCTAGCTCATCCCCTTGCGTTTGGAGAGATGCATCAAGGTCGTCCACCCTCTGTTCTAGGTCCGCAGTGCGTTGCCCCAGCTCACGGATTTCCCTGGACAGCTGGTTAGTTATGCGGTCTGAGGTCTGCTTCAGGGCCTTATGTAGCATTTTTTCAAAGCGAGCTAGAATGTCAGGGGTAGTAAGGTCAGGCGTCAAGGCATGTTTGGGGGTCGCAGTGTCATCATCTGACTCTCCCTCTGAAGAGCTTGGGCGGCTCGGCTGCTCCGTTTGCAGGGCTGCAGGGTTGGATAGGGCTGGCTGGCTTTTGTGGTGCTCCGATGCGGCGGCCATCTTGGAGGAGGCATAAGCAAGGGCCTCCTTTATGGGCTTATGCGGCGGCGCCGCTTGATGCTTATGCGCCCCCCTGACCATATTACGAGCGGTGCCACGAGCGGCACCGCTCCACGATCGGTGCCGCTCGTGGAGCGGTGCGGGGCCGGATCATGTGGCGGTGAGGCTGTCTTCCCTGCGGCGTGGAGGAGCCTCAGGGAGACATGTCCTGCGCCGTCAGCCGCGCATGCGCACTCCTTTTTTGAACATGTTTGAGCTCTGGTTTACAAATAATGCGTGCTGAATTTGCTCTGTTCTCTCTTCCTCCCCCTCTCTCCCCCCTCCCCTTTCCCCCCCCTCTCTCTCCCCTTCCTCCCCCTCTCTCCCCCCCCCCCTTCTCTCCCCCCCCCCCTCCCCTTCCCTCCCCCCCTCTCCCCCCCTCCCCCCTCTCCCCCCCCCTCCCCCCTCCCCCTCTCCCCCCCCTAATTCCCCCTCTCCCCCCCCCCCTAATTCCCCCTCTCCCCCCCCCCCCCCCTAATTCCTCCCCCCTCCCCCCCCCCCTAATTCCTCCCCCCTCACCCCCCTAATTCCTCCCCCTCTCACCCCCCTCTCTCTTCCCTCCCTCTCTCTTCCCTCCCTCTCTCTTCCCTCCCTCTCTCTCTTCCTCCCTCTCTCTTCCCTCCCTCTCTCTTCCCTCCCTCTCTTTTCCCTCCCCCCCTCAGTGTCACAGCGCAAGGCCAAAACTAGCCAAGCCATAAGCTAATGCAGGCACGTGCAGGGTTGTATGAAATAAAACTATATAAGTAGCTTACTTGACAGTCCCCTTTTTTTTTGTTTTTTTCTTTTTAAAGCCTGCAAAATTCTCAAACACCGATCATATTAATTTAAATACATCACCTGTGCCTGTATCACGGACTCCAGAAACAATTGAAAGAACAGGAAATCCTATTCAACCCCAATTAAAACAAGATGTTCCCGCTTATCTTACAAATGTGGCAAGTATGTAAGACTCATCAATTTTCATATAGTATGAAAAGTATTTTATGTAGATGTCATTTTTTTTTTTTTTAAATGGAATCTGTAACTTCTAACAATTATTTTGTCTTAGATATACAGTATATGTAAAAGACAGGTAAATTTATATATATATTTAGATCTATCTTGTATATCAAAAGTTGCTAAGTTCCGATGCAGATTAAAGCTGCCTAACGTGTCTAATCTACAAATCTCTACATTTAGTAACAAAAAAAAATAACATTCCATATTAATAGTGGATTAAAATCCCTATAAATAAGGAATACAAGTGGGTATATTTCCTTCTAGTAGTTTTGAAAAATGTTGGCTTATAAAATCAGTCAGTATGTATTCACTGAGGAGGTGTAATTTTCTGTTTCACGCCGATTGTCTGTCTTAAAAAGTCCTTAAAGGATAAAGTCTTGAGAGGCTAATGAAGGCTGCCATTACTGTACTTTTCTTTGAGAATGAAACTCAGCTGTCATTCTGATACTTTGACTTCATTGATGAGTTGCTGTTATGAAATAAGTAAAGAGATAATTGGTTCTGACACTCATTTACAGCGCATTTGTTCAGGACTGTGACTGGAGAATTCTGAAGTCAGACACTGCCAGACATTTAGTATTTTAAAAGGAAGCCTGCAGTGACAGCCCCCCTACTTCTCTCTTTACAGAGACACTCACAGTTAAGGATTCTACTGGCCATCGTGTATAGGCTTTTTCAGATAAGTCAATCTTTAGGGTATGTACACACTGGCCATTGTTCCAACAGCTCTGTGTTTTTTTTTTTGTTTTTTTTTTATGAAGTGTGATATAAAGGTAAAAAAGAGCAGTGGCCCCCACCCCTCCCTCATCCTTCCTCCTTGGCCCCTGCTTGGCCTATCGGGGCACCCACTGCATCTGTGTGTCCACACACAGAGCACTGGCTGTGATTGATAGCATAAGGAGCCAATGGCTCCGCTTGCTGTCCCAGCCAATGAGGAGGCAGAGACCCGGGACAGCCGAGGCTGTCGTTCACATCGCTGGATCTTGACGGGGCTCAGTTAAGTATTGAGGGTGCTGGGGGAGTTGCTCCACATAGGTTTTTTTACATTCATGCATAGAATGCATAAAGGTAAAAAACCTTGAGCCTTTACAACCGTTTTAAATGTTAAATAAGATACAGTTCCATATACTGCTCTTTTTTTTTCACAGTAGATATTGTCTCTAAAGTGATTTACAACAAGCTCATTGAAATACAATACAAATATATATACCAGTGTAATCCATGTGCATAAACCCTGGGGGTTTGTAAGAAATGCAATCATTAAAGTATGTAGTTTGTGGGTTTTTTTTTCGTTTTTGTTTTTTTTTTTTTTTGCCTTCTTTGATCAAATTGTGTCAAATAATATTTATCAAGAGTGGTGGTTGTGTGTGTTTGTTGTTGTTTTTTTTTTTTTTTATAATTTTATGTTGGCAGTATCTTTCCCTGATTCCCTAAAGTAAAATCCTGCTAGTTCTTTGAGGGGACTGGGAAGCTGTGCTTGTGTTAATTAACACTGTCTGTACTGTGCAGGCAGATCTTCTTTATTCTTTATTATTCAGTTTTAACTAGAATTGAACATGGCCTGTCATTACAAAGGGTTAAAGTGTTACTAAACCAGGGGTGGGCAAACTTTTTGACTTGAGGGCCGCAATGGGTTCATATATTGGACCCGGGGGCCGGACCAAGAGTAGATGAATGATGTGTATGTGTCATCCATAGTAAGTATAGTAATATTCCCCCATAGTAAGCATAGTAATTAATCCCCCATAGTAATTCATCCCCATATAGTAATTCATCCCCCCTATAGTAATTCATCCCCCATAGTAATTCATCCCCCATAGTAATTCATCCCCCATATAGTATTTCATCCCCCATATAGTAATTTCATCCCCCCTATAGTAAATTCATCCCCCCTATAGTAATTCATCCCCCATAGTAATTCATCCCCCCTATAGTAATTCATCCCCCATATTAAGTCCCCCCTGTGTCAATTCACTTACCTTTGCTCCGCGCGTTCCTCTCGCCGTGTTCCCGCGCCGTTCCGGTGTAGCATGAAAATCTGTCTCCTATGAGGATCTGTCCCCCTCGACGTATCTGCGCATGTGCCAGTTTCAGGCATTAGCAGCCAATCGGCGATCTCCGGCACATGCGCAGATACGTCGAGGGGGACAGATCCTCATAGGAGACAGATTTTCATGCTACACTGGTCTTCAGGGCGGACTGTGAGAGGAGCCTAGCTCCCCTCGCGTTCGTCACGCTGCCCCGCCTACACACACCCTGACAGCCATCCTGACAGTATCACGCTCCGCGGGCCGGATTAAAAGGTCCGCTGGGCCGTAGTTTGCCCATTGCTGTACTAAACCCATGACCCTGCATTCATTATTTCTGGTCTCCCACAGTACACACAAAATGGAAATGCAATTTTAATAAATATAAACTGCTAAATAACTTTTCTCATCAGCAGTATATAGCAGTCTTGTGACTTCGATCAGTGTCCAGCCGGGCACTGGTTAAAGCTTGTAGGAGGAGTTTTCATTCTCCCCGATTGTCCTATGAGGCTGCATAACCCCTGACCCTCTGTCTGGACAGTGCTGTTTTGGCTCTGTGCTAATCGCATACACTCTCCCAAGAACAAAAAAAACTCTAGCAATACACACCAAACTGAGCATGTGCAGCTTGCTCCAAGGCTCTGTTCTATCAGGAGATGGATTGTGGACAGTAGAAGGGGAGGATCAGAGAAGACCGGATCAAACAACCTTTCTACACAGTGCAGAGGATTAACCCCTTAGGTTCCACAGTGAGTATAACAAGCATGCTTTACTGCATATACAGACTGATTTTACTGTTGAGGGTTTAATAGCACTTTAAAGGTTTTGAAGCTAAGCTTCTTGCATTTTATGTTAACGAGGACACACTCATTCTAACATTGTTCAAAAATTCTTGCAGTCAGCCATGACACCTCCTCCTGAGAAACATCTAAAAGGGAAGAAATATGTTTAAAAAAAAAAAAAAAAAAAGTTGAAGGTATGCTGTATGAATGGGATTACATAAACCCATGTCCAAACTTGAGTTTATACCAGTCAGTATTATTGTTAAGATATGTGAATTGTTGAACTTTTAAAGACAAACTTTATAGTAGATTCAAGTAAATTTTGCTTTGGTATTTAATATCCTATGCTTTTTAATTTTCCAGGCCCAAAGTTATCTACGTCAATTAGCTCAGACATTGCTTCCTCCTTGTCAGAAAAAATAGCTGATTCTTTGGCTAATGAGAAAAGTGGAGCCCCCTTAACATCTGTTCAAATTAATTTCATAAGAAACATGATAGAGGAAACGCTTGATGACTTCCGGTAATTTGTTTTATTTTTGTGTTTATCTTTATTCTTTTCAGTACATTAAAGAATGCTGTCAATTACAATCTTCCTTATGCAGGAACAAGGCATTACCACTAGGAAGCTGTTTAGCTGGTTATCTGTTGATTTTGGTATCCAGAGTTGGGGTGTGCTTTTGTAACAAGAATATCCTTTAGGCAGGGTAGTCCAATAAGATGACATTACTGTATGTATACTTCACTTTTTTGTTATGGATAGGTTTGATTCTGCCACCTTCAGGTGCTGGACACTAGGTGCAATTTATAACTAAAAAACACGACCAAAGGGAAGCCCTCTGATAGTGGCCACACCCCCTATCTGCAATACAGGATTCAGGTTTTTCTTCTAGCTTCTTTTAGGGATAGGACCAGGAGAGGTGTGTTTTTTTTTTTTTTTTTTTTTTTTTTCCTCTCCCATTATTTTATGGTTAGCACTTCTGCCTGGCAGCACTAGGGTCATTTGGTTCGAATCCCAGCCACGGGCACCACCTGCTTGGAGTTTGCATGTTCTTCCTGTGCCTGCGTGGGTTTCCTTCGGGTACTCCGGTTTCCTCCCACCTCCAAAGACATGCTGGTAGGTTAATTGGATCCTGTCTAAATTGTCCCTAGTATGTGTATGTATGAATGTGAGTTAGGGACCTTAGATTGTACACCCCTTGAGGGTTAGTGACTCATGTGAATGTACAATATATATGTGTAAAGCACTGCATAAATTTACAGCGCTATAGAAGTACCTGAAATAAATTGAAGTTTTCTCAACAAATACAGTAATATGTAAGGAACAGAGACAGTATTGGTTCTTTGTTGTACAGATGATTAGCTAGAGGTTAACAATTCCATCATTCACCAGTTTAATATTTTATACTTTTTTTTTATATAAAAGGTCGAGTGATACTGGAACCAGATTCAATCAATTGTAAGACAATTAAGAACAATGGGGAATAAGGGGAGGGGTAGGAGAAATTACATCTACAGGAACAACTGTCTGAGATAGGTTAAACAACAACATCATATCGGTCAGGATAATAATGTACAGGTGAAACTTGAAAAAATAGAATATCGTGCAAAAGTTCATTTATTTCAGTAATGCAACTTAAAAGGTGAAACTAATATATGAGATAGACTCATTACATGCAAAGCAAGATAGTTCAAGCCGTGATTTGTCATAATTGTGATGATTTATGGCTTACAGCTCATGAAAACCCCAAATCCACAATCTCAGAAAATTTATAATATTACATGCAATCAATAAAACAAGGATTGTACATAGAACAATATCGGACCTCGGAAAAGTATAAGCATGCATATGTACTCAGTACTTGGTTTGGGCCCCTTTTGCAGCAATTACTGCCTCAATGCAGCGTGGCATGGAAGCTATCAGCCTGTGGCACTGCTGAGGTGTTATGGAAGACCAGGATGCTTCAATAGCGACCTTCAGCTCTTCTGCATTGTTCGGTCTCATGTCTCCTCTTTCTCTTGGCAATGCTCCATAGATTCTCTATGGGGTTCAGGTCAGGCGAGTTTGCTGGCCAATCAAGCACAGTAATCCCACGGTCATTGAACCAAGTTTTGGTGCTTTTGGCAGTGTGGGCAGGTGCCAAGTCCTGCTGGAAAATGAAGTCCGCATCCCCATAAAGCTCATCTGCGGAAGGAAGCATGAAGTGCTCCAAAATCTCCTGGTAGACAGCTGCGTTGACCCTGGACTTAATGAAGCACAGTGGACCAACACCAGCAGATGACATGGCTCCCCAAATCAACACAGACTGTGGAAGCTTCACACTGGACTTCAAGCATCTTGCAGTGTGTGTCTCTCCATTCTTCCTCCATACTCTGGCTCCTTGGTTTCCAAATGAGATGCAAACGTTGCTCTCATCAGAAAAGAGGACTTTGGACCACTGAGCAAGCGACCAGGTCTGTTTTTCTTTAGCCCAGGTAAGACGCTTCCGATGATGTTTGTTGTTCAGGAATGGCTTGACAAAAGGAATATGACATTTTAAGCCCATGTCCAGGATCCGTCTGTGTGTGGTGGTTTTTGATGCACTGACTCCAGCCTCAGTCCACGCCTTGTGAAAGTCCCAACACTTTTGAATGGCCTTTCCTGACAATCCTTTCCAGGCTGCGGTCATCCCTGCTGCTTGTGCACCTTTTTCTTCCACACTTTTCCCTTCCACATAACTTTCTATTAATGTGCTTTGATACAGCACTTTGGGAACATCCAACTTCTTTTGCAATTACTTTTTGAGGCTTTCCCTCCTTATGAAGGGTGTCGATGGTTTTCTGCATGTCAGGTCAGCAGTCGCAACCATGATTGTGATTCCTACTGAACCAGACTGAGAGACCATTTAATCTCCCTGGCGGTATGATTATTTCAGATTTTTGGTACTGGAAGCGGTACCATTTTTTTGCGTGGAAATATGTAGGCCTGTAATTTTTAGGAATAACTCACTGAATTCTGTCCGAACAAGAGTCTAGTAAACATCCCGGGTATGATAAAATTTGAAACACAAAATCATAAATTATAATTTAATAAATAATCATAAAAATAATATAATAATTTTAATTCAATAATATAATCAAACCAAAAACACTGATATTTGAAATCTAGCGCCAAGTTCGCACATCACTGAGCAAAGTCGCAAAATCTTTTTCAGTATCTGATGACGAATTTCCCCACGAATCATTATCACTCAATTGTGCAAGTGGTTCTAATTTACTATCGCTGTTCTCTAGCTGGTCTAAAACCGCTTTTGACCTAAAGGGATGCTTTTTGGTTGCCATGGATGTTTCTCAGTTTCCAGGCAGAAAGAACAGTAAAAATGTAGGCAGGGCACAGGACAAAGCACTAGGGAAAAATGTATGTGAAATGGTTTGATACAGTAATGTTATACAATGTGATTTTAGTGAATGTCACTTTTTGTCATTTTTGAATTTCCCGCCATTCCGTCCCCTGTAAGCGTCGGGACGTAGGAACCCAGAAGACAGATTCCGGCATCTGCGGGTTACATTGCCGGGGACACTGCAGGAGGGACATCGCGGGCGCACAGGACAAGGTAAGTGATCGAGGGATCGTGGAGCAGCGCCGCATACTATTCCCGAGTGTAGCTCGGGGTTACCGCTTGTGGTACTGAAACTTTACCCCGAGCTATACACGGGAATACCGCCAGGGAGGTTAAAGGCTCAGGAACCCTTTGCATGGCTTAATTAGCTGATTACAGTGGGACACTTTGAGCCTAGAATATTGCACCTTTTCACAATATTCTAATTTTCTGAGATTGTGGATTTGGGGTTTTCATGAGCTGTAAGCCATAATCATCACAATTATGACGAATCACGGCTTGAACTATCTTGCTTCGCATGTAATGAGTCTATCTCATATATTAGTTTCACCTTTTAAGTTGCATTACTGAAATAAATGAACTTTTGCACAATATTCTAATTTTTCGAGTTTCACCTGTATACTCTGGTGAGAGTAAGTCATCAAAATTTATTTATTTTATTTCAGGTACTTGTATAGCGCCGTCAATTTACGCAGCGCTTTACACATATATGTTGTACATTCGCATCAGTCCCTAACCCTCAAGGGGTGTACAATCTAAGGTCCCTAACTTACATTCATACATACACATATTAGGGCCAATTTAGACAGGATCCAATTAACCTACCAGCATGTTTTTGGAGTGTGGGAGGAAAAACCGGAGTACCCGGAGGAAACCCACAAAGGCACAGGGAGAACATGCAAACTCCAGGCAGGTGTTGCTGTGGCTGGAATTCAAACCAACGACCCTAGTACTGCCAGGCAGAAGTGCTAACCATTTAGCCACTGTGCTGCCCCAAATCAAAATTTAACTTTACAATTGAGATCAAGTCACCATTGAGACCATGAGGAAGCAAATTTTGGGTATGATAAGTTGGCAATGGCAAATCTCTTTTTCCATGTCGCATTGGTAATTTTATATCATTCATTTACTATAGTTTTTGAGGGGAGTGTAAGCAATTTCCATAGCTTGGTGGTATTATTTTTGGCGGCTAATAGAATATGGATAACAATACAGCGGTATTTAGAAGGAATGTTGTCCAAGCCAATATGGAATAATGCTAGGGCAGGGTCTGGATGCACTGTGGAGCCTATTACTTCGGAAATTAGTTTAAAAATACTATTCCAAAATGATAGTAGGGATTTGCAAAACCATAATAAGTGTAGTAGGGAGCCTAATTCTCTGCATTGATGCCAACACTGGGGAATAGGTAGGATAGATTTTCGAAAGCTGGATGGGGGTTGAGTACCATTGATGGAGGATATTTAGGTAGGATTCCAAATGTGTGGCACATTGGGAGGATTTGTATGTGAGAGTAGAGGTTTTACTCCAAGTTTGATCTGAGGATTGGGAGAGAATCAGTTCCCAGTTGTGTAAGGATGATGTCCTCATGGGAAGTTTTTAAGTTGGTGAGAAAAGAGTAGAACATGGAGATCCCCTTTCCTGGGTATTTAGAGTTATGTAAGTATTGGAATACTGGGGTTGGGAGTGTAGAGTTAGATGAAATCTTTTCAGAGCGGATACAGTGGGTAATCTTTAGGTAGTTAAAGTATTCTGCTGTGGGAAATAAAAATTTGTTTTGTAGCACCTGAAAGGGTACTATGTCATCTGCTGGATAGAGGTCTAGAACTAGGTTAATATTGCATTTTACCCAAGTGTTTAGGTTGAGATAAGGCATGAATGAGTGTAGAGAATTAATGGGTATTTGTATTGAGATAGCTTCAGTGAATTTGTAGGAGAGGAATGTGATCCAGGCAGCTTAGGGAGGCTTTATTGCAGGGATGGTTAATAAAGGTATGGTCTGTCGAGCGTAAGGAGATTTTATGGATAAAGGGGAAGGAATAATGTTTCTATAAGGGATCACATTTTTTCTTTAGTCGGATGCCACCAAAAATATATTTGGTCGAGGAGTGTAGCGAAGTAATATGAGTGTGTATGGGGGAGA